CATTTGATGCTGCTACAGCTATCTTTTCAACAATCGATATAAAAAAGTTGACACTTTAGATTTGTTTTGGCGCGCTTTTTGATTTTGTGACACTGACACAGCAGTMGTGACACTTTAGATTTGTTTTGGYGGGCTCCCCCGGCGCTCGTTGACACTTGAGAACTGGCTCTTCCGGCTCTTTGACACTTGAGAACTGGCTGTCAGTTGCCCRTGACTGATGAATTTTTGAATCGAGGATTCCTACATAAATCTATGTGTGTGCATACTTTTTGGTTAGCGTGAGCTTGCCCGGACCAAAAATCTATGTATTTGTGTCAAAAACACATACTTCTATGTGTGCACGACTGAAGCCTAATTCAATATTACATAGATCTGTGTTTACGGGAATGACCCATTTGGTGGAGTTGTTCAAAAATAATACTTCTACTTCTTACATTACAAAGAAGTAATACAACATCTTACATTTTAAGCAACAGCGATGATGAAAATGCGACGTTTTTCAAATACCGTTGCGTTACACACCCCTAATGCACAGAATGCTGGAGAAGGTCGTAGGTGAGATAATCAACTCAACGGTCAGGAAGAAAAAACAAGTGAAAGATGGGGAAGACCGACACTATTGAGGTCCCAAGGGAAGAAAGAAAGGAATCGACAGACGAATCCAAAGAAGACCAAGAAAACGGCGCAAATAAAATGGATGATGCATTCGGAATGAAAGCATCGTCCAACGATTCCTCCCGGAAAAGTACTTCGTTGCCACAAGATCCCGGGATGGAAGCAAAAATACAACATGGAACAAACTCCTCTGCGATAGCGACCCAAAAAAGCGTCTTTTCTACCAATGGTATAGGCACTGCCAAGATTTCCGTTGCGATGAAACGGTCCTCGAAAGAAGATATCTCTCCTGTGAAGTACAGAAAGATATATTCTGGTGTGGCGCATTTACCGCCAAAGGAAAGGAACTCGTCTAGTGGTGATTCGAAACCTACAGCCGATGATGGTTCGAAGCAAAACCCTCCGAAAGAAAGCACAGCAGTCACGGAAGATTCGAAAAACGATGGTGCTGTGTCGCAACCGCCATCACCACAGCATCAGGAACTTTTGAATCTGCCACAGTCTCCAACACAACCAAAAAATGTCACCAAAAATACGGTCAATCACGAGGGTAAAGATAGCATATCAGAACTCTGGAATCGATACGACCTCACCGCCTCCGTCTGTGTTGCAAGTCACGATACTGATGAACTCAAAGCCGTTGAAAGACAAATTTGGAAAAAACGGAAATTCGTTCCGTACAAAGGAATGGACTCTGTATTTAGCAGACCATAGCAATACTTAAAGTTCTATAGTAAAATATGTGCCATCCATACACTTTTTCCGTTGCTACTCGTACTGAACTAGTGAAAGTAATGTTCATGTTCATTCCATATCTGTAGCAATTCTTCGCTAAGATTGTCTCCGTCTGAAAAAGGGAATCCATATACAAATGGCTCGGGCACATACAGGTCATAAGCAAAAGACTTCCGTCCGAGATTCATATCATTCCTTTTATCTCCCGTCGCCTTTATTGGATCATGACAGGGAATGCGCTTTCGGATCGACGATTGCATGGCTCCTTTTTTTAGGATCCTTTTCAAACCACTCGTATCATTGAAATTATCTTCGAGCAAAGCATGAATATGCTGGCCTCGTAGCTCGTAGCATTCTGTACCCTTACAATTGCCCAGCGTTGCTACGACTCTATTGAGCTTGTCCAACAACGGGATAATGTCGTCGGGGTCGTTGGAAGTTGCAAGGTTATGGATTTGGTGTGGATCAACAGTCATGTTGTACAACTCCTGTTCCCCAGTACACCATTCAACATATAATAAGTTTGCTCCCCTGGCCCAGTCAGCTGGACCGTGAATGACTCGGACAGCCTGATAGGTATTTGGATACTTGAAACAATACGAGTCGTTTATCGGATCGAACACAAGAATTTTGGCAATCAGAAATGATTTTTTTTGGTGACTCTCAATGATTCAAATTACTTAGTATTGCGGACGTACCATGTGGTTTTGATAATATCCTTTGATATCCTTGTAACGCTCACCAATATTGGAGCTACCACTGTACATTTCCAGTAAGGCGGCCCAGCGAAAGTCATTTACTTCGGAAGTACCCAGTGAATTAGCTGTCATGATGGGCATTATTGATTTTCCATCCATCGGGTAGGTAGATTTCAAAATCTTGCCTTTAGATCTCTTATTGTATTGATTCGAACGAGTGGCCACATCCAAAAATGTTGGCCCAAGATCAACACTTTGAACAATTTGAGAGGACTTTGAGCCTTTCTGAATTCCTGGACCTCGAATCAAAAAGGGCACCAACACATCTGTTTCATATGCCTGGCGCTTGCCAGCTGGGATGCGATGGTCGCCGAAGTGCTGACCGTTGTCTTTTGCAGTTTTGAATTGATAGCATCGTACACCACGTTAAGGTGAGAAAGTTAATCAGAGAGCATGTATGCAAAGAAAATGTAAAATACATTCCAAGCAGAGCAAATTCGAAGAGAACTACTTGGAGAGAAGCACAGTACATACGGATATATCCCCTTATTTCTCTCACCTGAGGTATATATAAAAAAGGTGTCGTCGGTCAATCCCAGAAATTCTAGTGTTTCCGTGATGCTTTCCAAAGCCTCGTCGACAGCTTGGAGTGATCGCAATCGGTTGCGATAAAAGTTATCCATACCGTCTATTTGTTCCTGCGTGAGAGGGGGAATGTCTTTTATCCAAGCCGGGCGCTGTTGTTGAACATCGTCGGAAGGATTGAAAGAATCATAACGCGGGAAAATGGCGTCGGAGAAAAGGTGTTCGTGTCGCTTGGCTGGGGTGGATGGAGTATGCGGAGCAAAGGGTGTCACCATAAGAAAGAATGGCTTCGATGAATCTCGTTTTTTCGTCAGAAAATCCAACACCCAGTCTCGGATGAAGTCTGTTTGATAAACTGTTTTGTTTGTTTTTAAAATCCGTTCGCCATTATCGGAAAATATTGGACCATAAAAGTTAAAACACTTGAGTAATCCCATCCAATGGTCCCAACCGGGAGGTTTGTGGAGTCCTGCTTTTTCGTCGTATACGTTGTACCCGTTCATATATTTTCCAACCATTGCTGTTTCGTATCCAGCTGATTGCAGCAATGTAGCAATCGTTTCATTTTCCAAACCAGTATCCAAGAACTTGGACCACCCTCCGCTCTGATACGTGGAGTTGTTCATGTCCCCATTGTCGAAAACTTCGGTATTGTGGCAATACTGTCCTCGAAGGATGGTGGCACGACTTGGACAGCATAAGCCAGTTGATACGTAGTAGTTTGAAAATTCCATACCCCCCTCCCGAAACAATCGGTTCAACTTTGGCATGATGCTGGGATCTATTGAATTGGCCGTGACATCTTGATCGTCCGTCATGAACAAAATAATGTTTTTTGGAGTTGCGTCAATCCCGCCCTCATTCAAAGGGCGGGTCCGACTAGACGAAGAACTATCAACTTCATCAATATAAGAATTTGCCACAACCGTGACAGTGATTGCAGTGCATAACAAAAGAAAAAGTACCATAGTCTTGAATATGATGGTAGAAGTAATTCGCAATTCGATAACAAAAAAATAGGTCGTTGGAAGACTACCGAACTGTAGAAAACCTTCAGGAAAAGATACCGATTTATTGATAGATTAAAAGAACCTGACTAAAATTCCGGTAGGTTCGTCAAGGGACCTTCAACTCATTTCCTCGTTTTACAAATACAGGGACGATCATCATTGACTATTTTACCACGCCGGGCACGCTACCAGGCAATAGTCTGGCAATAAGAATGGTAACTTGCTCCCGTTATCAGAACAGTTACCACAATCTGGTAGGATTTATGGTAGCAATCCAGTATTCTTACCAGTTACCAAAATCTTACTAGAATTGCTACCAGATTGCTACCAGATTGCTACCATCAATGCTACCAGATTGCTACCACAAACGCTACCAAAATATATGCCGCGCTACCAGAATTTTTTTTAATATCCCAGCCCCCTCTTAAGTATGACTCATTCAAACGAATAYGGGGGCTAAGAGAATCTAATWATTATAGAAAATATTTATGGTAAAATGGTAGCTACCAGATTTCGACTAGAATTGCTACCATCTTGCTACCATTTTGCTACCAGATGGTAGCAATTTTAGTCGCAAGATGGTAGCAATTCTGGTAGAAATTCTGGTAGTAATAGTTTCTTGGAGGTCCCGRGACTGCAAATATGCTTCATTTTATGTGTTAAGCTGCGCCTGCTGGTTCCATTCCAGTAACGGGTCTAGTAGCAAAGGTGCTTGGTAAAATCTTCAATGATGATCGTCCCAGTAACAGAAACTCACTTCCTTGCATGGTAGTTTTGTTTTTAGTCAATTGTAAACTCATTTCCTTGCATTTTGCACAGTTTGTTAACTCATTTCCGTGCATTCCCTAAGTAATTCAAATTATAACTAGATGGGTGATACAGTATAGAAAAATCAAGATGCCTATAGCAAGCATACTATGAGTATCACACTAAATCTGTCAAAAATAGATCCTTGCGGTTGTGCTAGTATACTAGCTGCTGATACCTTCAGGGCACCAGCAACAGGCAACACCTGATATTCTTGTTGCTAGTTCTAGTACTACTACTAGCTACTATCAACAGTACACTGAAGGCCTGTATTGTATAGAGGAGTTGCTGACATTTAAATCTACAATTCAATTGTAGATTTCTGGCCATGATTTTCCCAAGTAAAATATGTTGTGCAAAATTATTGTCTAAAGACAATATTTTACCTCCTTCCTGGTTAGTAAAAATTGATGCACCCATAGCTGGTGCTTACTAGGGGGAAATGTATGGCCCCTATACACACCCAACATGGCTGACACCAAGGGGTTGACGCCCTTTTCCTAAACTTGTAATTTATTTTAGTAAGAAAGGTACGCAAGTGGAAACAGTTACTGCAGTGTTCTGGATAGTGAGGGTACAGTTGGCAACAAAAGTATTGAAAGTGAGAACAAAACTATTGGAAGTAGACTGGGAAAGCATGCATTCTTGGGTCCCATACAAACAGATACCAAAACATGGATGTATGCTTCCAAAATACTTGCTTTAACCACATTAGATGAACCAAAGAATGCAAGAAACATACAGCCAGCAGAGTGAGGGAACTCACTGGTGGTGAGATCATGTATTGGTTGAAGTAAGAGTTTCTGGAGCAGGACAAAACACTGCTAAGGTGGGGTCACTGGGAAGAAGCAGAGAAAATACCTTCTTGTAACTGGCCAAGGGAAGATGCTATTTTCCAAAGGAAGTGTTTGGCTTAAGATAAGGTCATTGCAATAAGGATGGTGACAACCCCTGTCAGTCCATGTCTGAGTACTATCATATACAGATGAATAAAATGGTATAACCTGAATACCAGCAGAAGTAAAATAATTAATACAACTAGTAGTAGGAATGATATCTAATACCATGAAAAAGATGTAAATATATGTCAATAGGTTTTAGTGTGACAAGAACATTGCTACTAGTAATTCCTTCCATTCCAACATTTCAGATTCCAACCAACCAAGCAGGCTGCCTTGCCTAATTCCTGAACCAAAATTCAAGCAATACCAAATCTAGTATGCAGAGCCCATGATAATTCAGCAGTGAGCTTTCAATTTTTGTGGTTGGCTTTCCTCCTCCCTCCTGTAGTTTCAGACATTGCTTGTGGTTTGGTTCAATGTCATCAACTTTTTATGCCCACCAACCTTCCTTTTGCACAACTTACTGATATCATATCCAGTGAGTGGGACCCACAATTGGGCAGTAATATATTGATTTGTCTGGTTGGTTTTATCAGGGGATGTCTCCTTGTTCCTATCATTTTTCAAGCCACCATGGTGAATCACAAAGCTAATACCATGACCTTATAAAGCAGAGGGGGAACTTACTACTGGTATCCTTCTTGCATTCAACAGTGTTATGGTTGTGGAGATATTAGTCTCACCATGGTGAATATGGTGTTTTTGAGATAAAGTATGGGGACTGAAAAATGGCAAGCAAAACCCCACCTGCAAAAACCAGCATTTGTTTGTGGCCACTTTTTTGAACCCCTTGACATTTTTGCAGGCAGGATCTCAACTGCTAGGATTTGTTTGTGGCCAATTTTTGGGGACAGGCGTCTTGTTACAATCCGATTGCTTCCACAACAAGGTTCAAATAGCTGCTTGTGGTATTTTTGATTTAGGATAAGGTTCAGCTTCCAGCATTTGCATCTGGAATCTCAACTGCCTGGATTCCTTCGTGGTCAGTTTTTTGGAACGCAAACACCTCTTGACATTTGTAGGTGGGATCTCACCCACTAGGATTTGTTTGTGGTCACTTTTTTGGGGGACAGGTGTCTTGTTCCGATCTGGTTGCTTCCACAAGCAGGTTCAAACAACTGCTTTTGGAATATTTAAACAGCCACTTGTTGTATATAATAAGATCCAATTGCTTCCACAAGCAGGAGGAGATTCAAACAGCTCCTTCTGGTATTTAGGATCATGTTTTTGCAGGTAGTAGGATCTCAGCATCAGGCAGTTGCATGTGGGATCTCAACTGCCAGGATTTGCTCGTGGTAAAGCTTAGTTTGACAACTTTTTGAAATTCAACCCATCCAAAACATCATCCTCCCTTCTTGTCTCCTGTCAATCACCAATAGCAATCCTAAGCAGCTTTCATTCCCAAGAACACCACTAGCAGCCTCTATTGATTGATTACTGATTAGCAACAACAATAAGCAATTCCTGTGTTCTTTCTACAAGAAGGATTCCTAAGTATCTAACTATCAGTCAGTCATTGATTAGCAATGGTGTGCAAGAGCAATTCCTGTGTTCTTTCTACAAGAAGCACTCCCAAGTACCTATGGATCAATCAATTAGCAATTAGCAAAGGCTTTCCAAGAAGCATTCCCAACAGCAAAATAAATAGCAAGGGCAAGTGAGAGCATTTCCTTTGTTCTCTTGTCAAGAATCAATCAGAGGTTGGAAGGTGGTTGAAAATTGTACTTCTTTTTGTATCAGCCCAACGCAACCCTTGTCACCTCAATTTGGTTAAAATGCAACCCAAACTGAGGTTAAAGTGAGGTTCTTGAAGGGGCGGTGCAAAAAAAATACAAGGTATGAAATAGAAAAAAATGGTTGGTTGGTACAGGTTGCAAGCACTTTTTGTGATGTCCTTCTTCCCCCCCACTACAAGAACAGTACCTCATAACCTACATGATACTAGTGGTGCTGGGATCAAGACAGCTCAAAATTCCCACCATCTCACAGGCATGATGGCACCTCTAGTTCTACTGGTATGATACACCTCCTCATACTACAGCACCTACTCAAGTGAAGAGATAGTACTGGTACACAGCATACTGTAACATAGGTTCTGTCTTGACCCGTTTCTTACATCAAAATTTGGCCACCAGCTACTGTAACTTTGGTGAGCTTGCTGTAGACCTCTAGACCACCATCCCATAGGTTCCCAATGACACTGACTTGGACTGGGTGCTTAGTCTAGTGGTCTAGAGTTGTTTTTTGATAAAGTTCTGCTCTATTTTGTTACAACACCTGGCCAGTCTGGAGCAGGTGTTATTTTTGGCACCTACTGCTGTTAGATGAGAATCTCAGCTGGTCTGGAGCAATCACAAGGACACCAGCACGCAGACACCTCCTCAGCACTATAACTAAGAGTATCCCTTGAGGGGAATTCATTAGAAGCTAGTACTCAAGGGAAGATCTGATGGCTCTTAGTCACTTGGTTTTCATGTTTGGAAATCTCAATATTTAGAACTATGTAGAATGCAGTAGGAAAAAATTAGGACCTTGTTTTTGTTCTTGTTGTCAGTTGCATCCTGTTGTCAATGGTTAACTACTGAACTGTAACTCCTCCAATAGCAACACCAATGTGTGTTCCAACTACTTTAATTGTGTCCATGATGATGGTGCCCTCAGATTTTCTGTGGAAGCTTCCTTGCTGGTTTATTTGCTGTATTTGTTGGATCCTGTGCCTGCAGCTCTTCTACCACACTAGGCCTTGGTTCAAAAAATTAATTTGCCTCCAAAGCATCCTCAACCTCCTCCTTAATCACAATGATAAGATGTATTCCTACTAATTTGATAATGCTTGTTGCAGCTGACCAATTGGAATTGCCAAGGGAAGCTTTCTTCCTGGTATTCTTGCTCCATTTGCTGAATCTGAAAATTTCTACTGTTTTTGCCCTATTTGGTAGAACAGCAGTACTAAAAATAGCTATAGTTCTTCCTCCTCCAGATTTCTTGGTGGCCTTCCTAAGAAAAGTGACCGCTTCTTTGCAACAGTACTACCCGCCTTGACTTGTCTTGTTACTAGGATGTTTTGTTTGTGGAGATGTTGCACTTGTCTCAAATTATAAATTCTATTAAGTATTTTACATTGAAACATTCTAAATTGTACATAGGATACTACTGCTACTGACCTTGGGGATACTGAGGGCTCTAAAAACAACCTCTTGGCCCATTGATGTGAGACTTCTGGATCCACTTGTTCTTATTATTATGAAGTTATTGTAATATGTGTGGGTGGGAAGTTTCTGCTAATACCTCTGTAAGGAGGGAGAGACTAGTCTCTTGCTGTTTTTTTACTAGTAAAAATTGCCCATTTTCTGTGTACTTCTTATACTAACCTGTCACAGATTCGATCCACACATTAGGGTTTCTTGTACCTCCTACCCACACAGAGACAGGGGTCATCATTTTAGAGGGGTGAGCAACACGTCAAAAACTTTGGCAGCATGATGTGAAAATTCATATTCCATCCTCCGTACTACCAATAAGAAAAATTTCACTAGAGAATTTTTTTCACTTGTTCATTTTCACTGCATAATACGACTACTACTACTCCTAGTAATACTACTACTAGTACTACCCAACCTTAACCTCAAAAATACCACTGTTTTAATTTTTGAACATACTCTCTAATCCAGTTTTTAATACTGATTCTGGATATACAAATTTGTTTGGCATCAAATTGATTCTTCTTGTTGTGATATTACTTCACTGTTGAATATTGACTAGATCATTCTTAGTACTAGTAGAAATTACTACTACTGGGGAATTAGTGGGAGAAACGGATGAAGGACAAATAGTTTGAATTTTAAATAAAGACTAGATTGGTGGGGCTGACTGGACAAAGGGCAGATTATTACTACTGCAAATACAGTACTATTGTGTACTACTTCCTCTGGTCCACTATGCTGGTGAGTGTCATACTACTAGTAGTAGTAGTAATAACTGTTACTATTTGCTGGTCCTGAAAGAGTGTCCCCCACTTTACTTAACGCTTTTTGAGTTTTTGACAGTTGGATCCTACAAATGACTATGTAGAATATGTAGTAACAGTACCAGAGACTAAAATTGTGCATGTGTGTGAATAAAAATTAATTATTTTTTACACATCATGAAAATACACTGGAAGTACTAGTACTACGACCAGTCCTTTGTTGGTGCTTCAAATTTTGAACTGCAAATAGCAATAACAACCAACAAACACTTACTACTAGACTCTCAACTATATGAGGGATCTCCATATGAAGTTTGAAAATCAGAGAGTGATTGGAAGTGTTCCTGTGCATGGGTCTTTCAAGTGCACTTTATGCAGTGTTATGCAGTAAAAATGAGGTGAAAAAAAACTCTGTAGTGAATTTCTTCTTCATGGTACGGGTACCGAGGATGGAATATGAGTTTGGTGGATGCGATGCGTCGCGTCGCGCACCCTCTAAAATTATGACCCCTGCACGGAAACACAATCAAAATTTCGATGTTAGTCACATTTCAAGAGTCATAATGGATCCTTACGCTATGAACACCGTACCCTACTACTGTACCATAGGTACGATTAACTCACAAACCGTACCGAAATCATTATTTTTCTTACTGTAAAATGACCGCTGCAACCACGAAAAAGTCCCGCCAACATGCTGCGTCGTTTTCCTCTTCGACCTTCTCCGACGGATAAACTTCATCGTAAAAGTCTACGATGTAGTACACGTAGAGGGTAGAGGAGTATTGTGATGTACATATCTTACGTACTGGTACGTACGCGTACTGGTAGTTTGTAGTTTGACTGTCATGGTGCAGATCTGTACGAATTCTCATTACAGTACGTTCTCTAACAACTTCATTTTTTTTTTCCCCGGCATAAAAAAGTGACAGTGAACATAATTTCTCGTTTCGTATCAACGCACCGTCGACTCACTCCTCAAATCAGAATCGAATACGACGAAACAATGCCTTCAAATCAGGAACTACATGATCTGGCAGAAGACTTCAAGGCGAAAGGGAATAAAGCTTTCCAAAACTCGGAGGCAGACGCTGCCGTCAAAGCCTACTCCAATGGTCTGGTGCAGGTCGACCGAATGACGACCGTTCCGATTCTTCTCAAAGCAACTCTATTGTCAAATCGTGCTGCATGTTATCTGAAGCAGGCGAAACTTCAAGAATGTCAAGAGGATTGCACATCTTCTTTGGCTCTCTTGGATGGGCTTGGGGCCAACAATGCAGACGACAAATCTCGGTCGCTTCGATCTAAATTGCTTTATCGTCGTGCAAAGGCGTTATTCCTGAAATTCAACATGCCGCACAAAAAGGAAGAAGAGGATCTAAATATTGCGGCAAAAGATCTGTTGAACCTGCTCTCATTTGATCCGTCGAACAAGGAAGCAACCAAATTACTCAATACTATTCGTGCCCAGCATGCAGCTGAGCAGAAAAAAAATAATGTGAGCAACACACCGATGGCCAAAACTTTGCAAGAAATTAAGAAGAAAGATGGAAATTTGTTACGAAATATCAAGGTACTGATGGGCCTGTTGACGAGTGACGTTGTTTCCTCCAGTATGGAATTTGGAAGGCGAGGTGGGGTAGATTTGTTAATAGGCATCGTCAACGCTGCCGAGAACGAAGACAAAGAGAGAGTCGCAACGAACGAAGATTTCCACAAAATTCGAAAAATTTCATTGCAGTGTATATCTTGCGCTGGATCATACCCTCTATTCTGCCGGACTTTCTTGAATGATTCCGACGTTCAAAAGATGCTTTCCGATCTTATCATGAAGGCCTGCGCTGTAGACTGTATCAATGATCAAATCGCTTCAAGCGCTTTCACCATTTTTATCCGACTCATTCTTCATTTAGACCGTGATGACCCGGAGAAAGACATTGACGGCAAGACCCATCTTTTGTACGATCCGCTAATTCAAAGCATGATTTCTGCCTTCAAATCGAAAGATGCAGCTATCGTTCGAGCAGCTGTCGATGTCCTGTCTTCATGGACGGCTGGTAAGAATCGTGAAATGGCTATTCGAGCCTCACTCAGTGATGGAATGTCAAGTGATCTACCAGTTACGCTCACAAAGTATGAGATGCATCAGCTCAAACCGAGGGAATTCTCCGCTTATAAACAACGTTTGCATCGCATTAATACCCGCAACGAGGCGTGGGCATTTGAACGATCAACCTTATTTTGCCAAAATGGTGGTCTTCAAGCATTACTAAACTTTGCTGTAGAATGCGAGGATGCCAATCTGCGACGAGAAATCACAGCGGTTCTAGGCAAGGTTTTGGAATGCCTTGCTGACGAGGACAAGATGAAAGACGTTGCCAGACCCATATTAGGTTCTGTCAAAACAAACAAAGATTCTAATGAAGAGGGAGGAGAGGAACCTCGCTTGGGTCCGATCATTGAAGAGATCGATGATGACGAAGAAGTTGAAATTGGTAAAGTTGAAGACGTAGATGAAGACAAAAATGAGCCAATCGTAGAAGTCTCTTTGGAAGTCTTGAAACAACGGGCGGAGCTGGCAACAGCATTACTTATGGCAAATGGTGAAGTAGGTGGGTGGTCAATGGGTAGTGGATGGCCTGGATGTAGTAATGATTTGAATATCTTGGTTGAATCAAGCGATATCAATGCTTTGAGGATTGTTGCGGAGTTACTGTCGGGCGCTGCATCGGTGAAGGAGACCCGACAGATGGTAGCAGTGTATCTTGATAACGATTCTATGAAAGCCTTAGTAACTCATGAGGATCGGAACGTTCGAACCGCAGCAGCATCTGCAGTTACCAAACTAGGTTTGGGTGAAGATCAGACGGAGGATTTCGAAGTGATGGGTTTATTGGAAGCAGCTTGTTTCATGCTGGAAGACTGGGAAGAGACAAATGCAGCGTCGAAGGAAAGAGAGAAAAGTAAAAGTAAAACAGAAGCCCTTGCAAATATTCCTACAAGTTCTGGCGCCAAGTCTTCTGTCGAAAGAGGTGTTGAAGCTATGGCGTATCTGATTACGAAAACGATTATCAAGGAGGAAGTTGCCCATGGGTTCAAGTCCTCTCCAAAATCTAAGTATAGCGCCATAGAACTGCTGGTCAAAATATCAGAAGATAGTGGTTCCGGCGAAACCGTTTCAGCCTTTGGAATTGCTTCAATTTTTCAATTAATGGCCGTCACTCCTTTGACACTCCGGAAAGAGGCATTTGAGGGGAAAGAAATAAGTATGGAGGAATACGATGAAATACAAAAAATGCAAAAAACTGAGGAAGCGAAGGAAATGGATAAAAGCGATGATGAGTTGAAAGACGATAATGACGATCAATGCGCTGAACGAGTTGTCAAAATGACAAATGCTGGTGTTCCTCGGGCTTTGGTTCAATTAGCCGAAGGTTCCAGCGACCGGTCATTAGAACAGATTGTTCTGGCATTGAATCGTATGGCCAATGTACAATCTGTGCGTGGGACAATGATTCAACAAGGTGTGCTTTCAGCCCTCATCAAGTTGGAGAAAGATGAGAAGAATCCAAGTGATATTCGGAAGAAAATTGTTCGGAATATTCGTCACTGTATGGCAAAATTGCTTGTAACAACAAACCCAAATTTGTTGACCTCTGCGCAAAGTATGGGTGCCATCAAACCTCTTATTCAACTTGTGCGAGAAGTGGAATCAAACGACTTACAAAAGTTCGAAGCACTCATGTCGCTGACAAACATAGCCTCTTTGAGTGATAGTACGAAAAATAAACTCGCTTCCGAGAAGGGTATTCACGCAGTGAAATTTTGCATGTTCTCAGACCATCCTATGGTACAGAGGGCTGCAACGGAATGCGCTTGCAATATGGTTGGGAATGAGCAATTTATGAAACTTCTTGAAGATGTAGATGAGCTACGCTTGTTTTTGGCTCTGGCATCGGACTACGAAGAAAATTACGAATGCGCCAGAGCAGCAGCAGGCTGTCTTGCGATGGCGACAGGGTATCCAAACGTTGCAAAAACATTGATTACAATCTCGAACTTCAAAGAGCGTATGGATACGTGTCTTAGCAGTGGATCCCTGGAGATACTGTATAGAATGGAAGTGGTTGTCTTGAATCTAGTCGAACACGGTGGAGAAATGAAAATGGCTGCAATTGAAAATAGTCTCGTCGCCTTTTGCGACGCTTATGTCGAATCCTATCATGATGGAAAAAAAATAGAAGAATTAGATTTGGCGGACGCTCAAATCCCTATGTTCAATACTACAGTCGATATTGCGAAGCAGATTGTAAGGGCAGCAGAAAAATAAAAGAAAATTGCCGGAATTTTTAGTTGGTGGTAACAACGAATAGCTGAAAGCCAGTAGAATAATTAAAGAAAAGGTAGTGTTGAATTTTGGTTGTATTGTCTCACACTTTATCTTAGACTTTGGACAGAGCATTTGAATGAAGTGAAAATGTACCTGTAGCTTTTCAATTGTTTGATACACATTTAAGTGACCGATCAAGACTATTAGGAAATGTGGGGAAAATAAGCTAGTTCTGTTGCCACTTTTCAAACCACAAAGCAGGTGATCAAATTGATCTTCTTGCTTCACTAAAGTTAAGGATTTTTTAACCTCACTGTGCTGCAAATGAAAAAACTTGAAGCATAGAAACAGTTGAGTTTCTGTTTTGTCTTTCTTACTTCTTGTGCTATTGCTACTACTTTTGGTTCACCTAGTATTCTTATCTGAAGGGCTCTTCATAGGTAGCAAAAAGTCAATAATCACAGGGGCCTTTGTGTGCTTTTTACAAATTCTAGCGTGGAATTGCAATGCTGAAATTTTTATTTAATTTTAATATTATGATGTTTAGCCTTGTGAATTAAGAGAGGCACAAAAGCTTCCAGAGCCATGATCCTGGAGATGTATGCTGCTATTTGCTTCAAGTGGTGGAACCTCCTTCAGAGGAGTGGTGGTGGAGGCACAACTGGGAATGCATAGTAGCATTGAATGTAAAATGCTGTCAATGGTATCAATGTGGTAGTGTGTGCCTCTGTTGGATGTCAAAAAAGCACAAATTTCTTGCTATATTACCAATAACTAGTATCAAATTGTGACTCAAAATGACAAACCTGAGAGCAGTCAGAACTAGTTGTTCAATCCAACACTTTACCCTTCTTGTTGTAATAGCAGCTTTGATAGTTCATCAAAGTGATTGAATATATTTGTAGAGCAGAGGTAACTAGTTGTAGATTTTTGTTGTTATCCATTGTTGTTGCAGTGCTTGTTTCAGAGAAAGGATGTGTCTGTGAAGGTCATTATTTAAACATTCCCTCAATGACATGTAGGAGTTGAAAAAGAACTCACCAAATATCTCCCCAGCACAATTGGAGAATGAGACCTAGAATGAAGATCAGGCTGAGTGATCCACTGAAGTGAAAGATGGCCAGCAAACAAGTGGTGCCAGCCAATTGTACCATGATTTCACTTTCCACCTTGATTTTGATACTGATCTTCTCCCTTGAGTGCTTCCTCACACCACAGGTGATATCTTCTTGACTGATCCTCATGGAAAACCAGTGCAAATTGCTGCAAAGAACATTTTCACCCCATTTAAGAATCTTCCCTGCCATAAATCACCATGCGGATCATATTCAGCTCAGTTGTCTGCACTACTTTCTGTAGCAGACTCAATTTGCTCTGCCATCCTGCTATGCACCCCAAATCAACCTACAGCATGAATGCTTTATGAAACAGTGTTGCACCCAGAAATTGAGTATCTGTTCCCCCAGTCCTTCTTGTTTTCTGCTCAAGTTTGAACAGAAATATCTTTCTCACATCTTTCCCTTTGTGGTTATGCTGCAGATATCTTCTTACCACTATCAGCGGCACTATCACTGTTGATAATACAGGTTTTATACTCCCACTCAGGTGTGGTCATAACACAATTTTGGACCTTGCACTTGCCAGACTCACCCTCAAGATTTCAAAAGCTAACCTACATGCACTCCACCAGATTAATTTTGTCTGAATGAATCTCAAGGTTCAATGGCTCGACAAATTGTGTCTTCCTTGTACAAACACACTGCCTCCCAGTCTCTTCTCCCACCACTGTTTGGCATCATACCATCCTTCCACTACATATCGTCCATAACACCAGTCAAATCCTGAATGGAGAAGCTGAAATCCCTTTGCTAAACTCCTTCAAAGTATTTCTCATGGTCCTATCACCACTAGGATTCTCAACATGGCTCATTGACTTGGCACTTGGCATCCTCCTTGTATTACCCATCGAGTATGGAATATTTGGCTGTCTAATGACAATTGGATCTGGACTTCACCACATCCACCAGACCAATGACTGTCCCATCCTATTGTTTTGACTTAACTGGACCTCTACAACAAGCAACACCTTTCTAAACATACAGCAGCAGTGCAGACAAGAAGTGCACAATGGATGATGGCATATCTTCTGAGTTTCTCAAAACAACACATTCCAAAAATATGAATGCTGGCAGATTACCAGATCACACTACTATTGTCATCAAGAAGGCCTAAAACACAAATCTGTAGAGTGACAGAACAAGAAAATACAGAGACATGCCAGATTTTCAGAAATACTGCTGCTTACTACTAGTACTAACTGCCAAATCAGATGCTGATGACATTGTTGTGGGGGAAACAAAAGGATAGATACCATGCTTAAATTTTATGTTCTTGGTAGTACTAGTAGTAGCTAGACCTGTCGTCATAATTGATAACAACACCATACACATTCTTGAAAAATGATAAGTAGAGAGTCATATGTACATTCCAGTCTGCCAAATTGAAAAATGGGCACCAGGATTGTGAAATTATCAACATTGATGGATATTTTGTTTGATATGTACATGCTGAGAAACTTGAATGGATAGAGGGGGTGTCCTTGAAGAAGGAGACTAAAAAAGCAATCAATTTAGCTTCTCAAAACTTTTGCAACAACAGCTACTAGTAGTATACATTTTGATATCTGCAAGAACATGAATGATCAAAAACCACCCATCAAACCCAGTCCAAAATGAGTCACAAGGGAACAATACATTTAACTCAATTCCCAATTAGTAATATTGCCTATGCAAGAACTGCTGTTCACAGATTACAGGCAAGATCTTTGGAAAATGTGTTGGCTTCAACTTCTTGGTCTCACACAAGTAATTGGATTTATGTTGTGCTTGTTTCAAGAGTTGGCCTACTAGTAGTAGTATAAGTACTACTACTACTAGTACTACTAGTACTACTAGAGGAACTAGTACTACTCCTTGTCCCAGCAGTGGTGGTCTCCTGTTTCTTGCACGACCAGTACTACTAGTAGTACTAAGAATACCTGCTCTTCTCCTCCTTACTACAAAAGACAAGAACACCAGCACCAACAACAAAAATACTACCCAACATACACAACAACAATTCATTGAATTCCTCCGCCCATTCCTATTTCAGAAAAACAAACATCCACAGTGTTCTTATTGTTGACTTGCTTCTAAATTCTTTTCAGAACAGTACTTTGTTCCACCTTGCTGGCACTCACTTAGTTTTTGCACCGTAGAAACTATTTGCGTTAGCGAGCCACTCATACTACTACCACGAGGGGTTTCGATCGAGTCGTGGAAACTCGTGAACCAATTCTCCACGCGGAATGCCATACCTTGAGAATACCTTGAGAAAACTATGGTACGAGTAGTACGTCAACGAATAGTACGTACGAACATCAGGTTAAGAGGAAACCGCCCATCCCACTCGATCGAAAATAGCAATCCCACGGACGCTCCGGACTGGCAGAGCAACAACAACCCTTCAATGCTACCCATCTTCCATTCCTTCATTTTCTCGCATCAGGGAACCGCGGTTCACTGATTGCATCGAACAGGAAACAGAAACCCAAAAAGTAAACGATTGTTTGTACTCATCTAGACTTAGAATGACGAGGACAACGAGACTCTCTCTGTTTGTCCTCGCGGCACTTATTCTCGTTGCGTTCATAGGAGAAGTGAGCGCATTCCGCGAACGAAGCGACGTCATCCTTCCCACACAACAACAAGGACTTACAACTCTAAAAGATAACGGTTTCGATATCGCAATGCGCATTCGTGGAGGTGCTGTAGCAATTGAAATTGAAAGCAGTGACGAGGAAGAAACAGATGACGAGGAAGAAGAGGACGTTCCAAAAATTGCAAAGGCAACGAAGAAGGCAGCCAAGAAGGCTGTGAAAAAGTCGGTCGCCGCCGCAATGAAGCCAAAAAAGAAGAAATCGAGCTTGTCTAACTTCTTCAGAGTTCCGTACATCGTCAAAGCTTGTCTGAATCCTGTCGTCTTTTTCCAAATGGTCGGGGGATACTGGAAGTCGTTGTATAACATCAATTACTTGGCTGATAAGGTGCGTAGTTTGGTTTTGCTCCACATGGCTCTTCCAAAAACTTTTCACGAGCGGTCGACTACTTCTATCTTAGAGGCGGTTGCATCTGTGCAACGGCCGATTCATAACTGGGTGACGAAACAAAATGTCAGAACTCGTCATGACGTCCTCCGCTAATTCGGTTTGGATGTTCTTCAAATATGTTTTACTGATTTGCTTCGACTATTTTTACAATTCGTTTTTGCAGAGTGCTGATTCTTCGCAAGATCTACGATCCGCACTAGAGCAAAAGGCAAGGTACGGAGGAGGCGGCAAGAAACCGTCGCGAGGAAAGAGGAAGATGAAACCAGGCCAGGCCAAGACTCTATCCGACCTTCCTCAGCTAAACACCTGAGGTTAAAGAAAGGAATGCCGGCTACAGGATGTAGAACGTGTCGTTCATGAAAAGAATAATTTTGAAAGGGAAGGAAGAGTTATTCCGAGGACTGGATAATTTTTTCCTCCGCCATTTGCAGAAGTAAAGATTGTGTACGTCGTTGTCAGTCTCTTCCCAACCGTTTCGCACTCAAATCACAACGTTCTACTTTCCATAGGCATTCCTAGCAATGTTGATGCAAGCTTTCTTCGCGTGGTTTTAAATACCACAGAATGACGAGATCCAACCGAACCATTCCTTTGTGATGGAGGTAGGAGCTTTGAAAATGCGTTTGAAAGCATCTGTCAACAAACTGAATACATCATCGATTCGGTACAATAATTTTTATATCAATTAAATAAAATAATCAATCATCTTTGAATCCTTGCGAAGGACAATTCTTTTGTTCGACACGCACGTAGACATTATTTGAAGAATTATTCTTCTACCTCAACATTGTCATCGTTGGAGTAACTTCGCCCTACGCGAACACGACGTAGTAAGGTTGAATCCCTTCTACTATAACTGAGTTGCATTAGACAAAGACCAGAGGGATGTTGAGTTCCTCCACGTGAAATTTCCTAAGACCTTGAACTCAAATGTTCTTCTTCAAAGGCATCCGATACGAAGACTAAAGACTGATGTGCTGGAATTAAATTCTTTTAATAGGACTGCTTTCCAAGCAGATGTGAAGAAGCATCAAATTACTTGAAACAATCTACTGATATGCCCGTGTGCTTCCGTACCCTGTAGCTCTTGTGTAATTCTTTCGCTGGTGCTTTTTCCCTCCTTTTACAGAGACTCCCATTTGTCCTTCGTTGGGTCCTCCTAGCGTTTGGTCAGGTGTTGAATGGCATCCATAAGGGTCTTTATTTCTCCCTTTTCTTCCTTTCTTACCCCACTTCTTCTGCCTCTTTGATGTACCTACAGACATCTTGTCATTCTGTCCACCTTGTCCTGACACTGATGCACCTCCCAACAACTCCAACAACATGTCATCATCCTCGATGTCCAGGTCTTCCGTTTTTGAATCCTGAGAGTCGTCCTTGGCTTTAGGGAGTTGAACATCACTGGATTCCAAAAACTTTTCACGGAGCTTCTTTGTTTTTTGTAAGGACAGCAGAATCGTTTCCTTTTGGAATGTTTCTTTATCAAAATGTGGCGGTGAATGACAATACAATAATTTTCCTGTTGCGTATTCCATAATGATCATACGAGCCGCTCGTTGATAATCTGGAACCCCACTTGAGGCTGCTAAGAGGCTTCTTGCCACGCAAAAAGTGGTCAGAAATTCGTCGGCCGTAGGTGGCGGCAGTCGAATATCTTCTCTGCCTTGTACTCGTTGGGCTTCATATATGGCGTCCGCTGTCGGCAAAGGAATCTTGATACTATACTGTGCATTCAGTACTTCGCGAGGAATGCGCTGGCATAGCAGATCCATAACGGGTTTCCAATCCCGCATTTGAGCGATTGGGAACACACCTGCTGCGATCAAGTCTGCAGTATTACTGACAAAGGACGGAAACACGAGACCTGGACAATCGCAAAGGAGCATTTCGGGGCGATCAGGTGGCAACAAAGTCTGGAAATGTTTTGTCTTTCCGGGCTGAGCAGCCACTCCCACCCGTACTACTCCATGTGCATTTTTCGCATTGCCCATGAGAACATTGATGACAGAGGACTTTCCCACGTTTGGAAAACCCACCATCCCGAATGGGATTCGGTTGTATTTCTGATCCATGGCACAATCATTCGCGTTGGCAAAACTTTGGAGCCAATCTAGCAATTCAACTCGTGAAAGAGGTTTATCTACACCAATGTTCTTCATCTGGCCATCCGAGGGCGATATTTCTTTCACTCCCTCCTCGAGGTCTTCGTCTCGCACCTTTTTCTCGTCGCTGCTGTCCTTGTTGTTACCGGATGGGTTGCTGCCGTCACCATCATCGTCACTTTCATCATCGTATTCTTTCGAGAGAATAGATATTTCTTTTTGTCGCTGTCGCTCTTCTTCCTCTGCTTCTTCTTTGGCAGCGCGAGCCGCGTCTTCGTCTACCTGCTTTTGCTGTTCGTGAGCCGAGAAAAACACATGCTCCCATTTGTGATCAGGATGCGAAAAATATTCGTGCCATGCTTTTCTTTGGACGGGTGTAAGGTAGTCACTCTTGTTGATCAAGAGCAACATAGGCTTTCCTAGCTCCTTTGTGGTATATGCCTTCAGATCTTGTGATAGGTAAAACAGGGGATTTCTTGCGTCGACAATCTGCACAATGCAGGAACATCTTTCGAGCACGCGCCACAGCTGACGCCAGATCTCCAGATTCTTTTCAAAGGGTGTTACTCCCAACGAAGATACAGTAGATGTCCTCAGCGAAATTTCTTCTTCGCGCTCGGCAATGCCGCGTCTCCATTCTAGGAAAGCATCTTTTTCACGCTGATCGAGTTCGGCAGCTGTCGTTGTTTTGTCCCAAGCGGGTCGACGTGGTACAGAAAGTTCTTTGAAACTGAAGTTTGAATTGACTCGTTCGTCGCCATTCAGAATTACTCCGTCGCCATTTCCGGCTGCTTGAGCCGTCTCGTCCAGAATGACAGCCCGTTCTTTCTCGGAAATGAATTCGCGATCGGCCATTTCGGCTTGGATCAAAAAATCATCGAGATCGTTGACATCCAAAACCGACGCTCGATTGTCGAGGGCTTGTTTGACACGATCACCTTGTTCCATGTTGATACTGTCAACCCCTTCTCGCTGCGCCATTCCCCCCAAACTGGCAGATGGAGTGTGGCGTTTGACACGAGATTTTTGCAGGGCTCGTCCCATACCCGAGGCCCGCTCATGCTTCTTTGGCTTGCCCTTACGCGATGTTCCTTGACTGCGAGGCATGATGGTTAAGTGGAGAAAATATTGACGCTCGACGGATTGTCCGTGCGCGATTTGTTGTCTTTGAGGCGGGACGCTTTTGTGAATAGAAATCGAAGTAGCTGAAAGCTATGCGACACGTACGGTAGAGAAAGTTCGAACTTCCTTTGATACGGTAGAAAGAAGAGATTAAAATGTGGAGAAACACGGGATATGGCCTTCTTTGTCAACGATCAGTGACTAACCAAATCTTATCGTACCGCTGTACGAAGTTGAAAATTGGTTGGTCGGAAAGAAGAACGAAGGACAGACTGTTACATGAAGTCGACTAGTCCGATTTTAGTTTTTCTTTCTTCCCTTTTCCAAAGTTTGGATACGAGTTACGATTCTTACACAGGATTAAATACATAAGGTACGCATACGCGTACGAGTACGAGTACGAGTATTCGTTGGCGTGTCAATTTTTTTTTCTCTGCATTAAGTTACAATTTTTACCGTATTCATAGTGATGGATCGAACAAAAGAGTACCGTATGTCAATAAAACTTCGGATGGCAACAACAGAGAATGCTTTCATAGGCTACGAATATGGGAGGTAGTGCGGCAATAGTTTCACGATCCGTTTACACGGATCGATTGCGTCGGGCTTTCATTTTACGATGCCATCCCGATCGATTTCGACGCTACGATGAAAAAATTCGAAAACAACAAAGCGTTCTTCTGCAGGTAAAGTCCCATGTATCATACAAAAAGAACCCCTTATTTTTTATCAAGTGGCTTCACTCCTCCTCATATATTCTTCTTGTTTGGCTTTATGCAAAAAGGCACTTTCCGAACGAATGATCGAGGCCGACTTCAAGGATTACACCTCGAATATTTCACGGATAGAAAACCCTAGGACGAGACACAATAACCAACAAAACGTTGTACAATATGCAATGGAAAAGAGAGATGGATCGCTTCTGCACCGGACATTGGATCTCAATGCTTCTGTCGAGAATATACTCAAAAACCTAGCATCTGCACTCGAGTTATCTGGCGCTGCAAAACTCCCTCCTCCTCCTGCGCCGTTACCGTTGTCGTCGAGAACCAAGCATTCAAACGACAACGACCAGATCCATTGGACAAAATATGATCCCCACGACAGCATCAAAGGAGAAAGCAAGGGTGGTAGCACCATAGACCACCGTTACGATGTGAATTCGAACCGAGGGAGGGATCTGGAGAGATTTCTTTCCTCTGTAACCCCATCCCAAATCGAAGAACGGAAGGCCTACAGAATGGATGCCACTGCGGCGGCTTTGGTGGCTCGTCGGCTTTTTTCATTCCAATCGATCGATGGAATTCGTTTGGGTTGGTCTTCCAAATCATTTGCCGGCTTGTTGTCCTCCCTGATACGATTACACGAAGAATATCAACACAGATTCAACGTTCAATCGTTCTATCCTCTGGGGCTTGTGTTTACAAACAACGAAAAGAAACCGGCGTTGGACGTGTACGGAGGAAATATTTATTTGACCCCTTCAGGAACGCAGCTTGAATGGCTAGAGTCCATCAGAGAAGTAACAGAAGAACGATTGGATGAATTCCTTGCGTATAGACGAATCATGACGGAACGGGTCGCTTTGCTGCAGGAGGGACTTGTCGGTGATAGAAGAAACATTGCAAATGGTAAGCACGACAATACAACAAAAGTAAAGAAGGGATTCACCTGCCCTTCCTTTGAGTATTACATGTTTTTACAAAGAGCCACCGAGCCCTATAGAAATATGCAATCCATATCTATGGAGATTCCCATCGCAGAGAGAAACGGGTTTGTGCCGGCAATATCTCAATCATCGCTGAGCACTACCGGTCACCTACGACTTGTAGTTGAATCGCCTGAATCTTGTCGAAGACCGAAAGTCACTCGAGAAGGATTTATTCAAGTTCCTTCTACGATCACAAGCGAAGATCTGACTTTGTCGGTTTCAAAGTTGTCTGGGTTGGCGAAAGAGCGCTGGGATGTAGAGCAGGAGAAAAAACACAAATGCCGCGAAGCTATTGAACAAGTACAATGGAAATTTGGTCTGCAAAAGGTCTCTCGATCCAATGAACGCGTTCGCTGGGAAGACTTTCTTAGCGCACTCTCCCGACTTATCGACCACGAGACCCAACTTGAAGAAGGAGAGCTAGCTGGGTCTAATTTACAAATAAGTACGAATGGCCATTGCCATCTTTCCGACGACGGCAGTTTAGTTATTCCGCATAATTGGACAATATCAGCGTTATGAACACATCAATTGATCTTCAAAACTTGTGATCAAAAGGCTTGATTAAGAGACTAAACCGATTCGCATTCCTGTGATACCTGCTGGCAATGGTTGATTCTTGTAAGCATACGATGAAGTTACAAAGCTCGCTCATGAATGGTACAAATAGTGCTAGGAGATGAAGAGGGTAGACTAGATCTTTCTCCTGAAAATAGGCATCAACGGGACAGAAAAACGTTAAGGACTGTCCTCATCCTCTGAACACAGTCTTTCCTTTTCTATCTCGAAGCATCTAAAATTGACAAGCAGGCTCTTCTGAATTGCTGCAGTCCTGGCTGCAAGATCAACTATCACTTCCTTCTTGTCCTCTTTCCGCCAGTATTTGGTATACTCACTATGAACAGATGCACCAAGAACTAGTAGCATACCCATCATACAACCTTTATGCCACTGCTGGTGCTTTAGGTCAGGAAAAGAGACAATGTGAATGCTCAAGGTTCAGTGTTAGTATATTGATACAGAATGTATAGGCCAGAAGCAAGAGCTCTATTATTTGCATTTGACTCCATCTCTAGTACTACTACAACAATGATTACTATTATACTAGTAGTACTCCTTCTTTCATTGTCAGATGATGGTTGAAGTTTTTGTTGACTTGTGGCACATAGCTAGTAGTAGTAGTACTACTACTAGTACTGTGACTACTACAAGTTCTACTAGTAGTAGCCACCAGTACAACAAGTAGTAGTACTAGTAGTAGAATTAGTAAAGTACTTTGTACTAGGTAGTAGTACTGGTACCACTACTAGAATAGTAATACTTGGAGGTGGTGTGCACATTGCTGTAATTCCTGAAAACAATACTACTGCTACTAGAAACTTGGCTATCAGTCGTGCACATGACTACTATTTCTCACTTGTGTAGAGTCAGCAGTTACCTTGATTATATCACAGGACTGGACTTTTCAAAGAAACCAAAAGAATATTTTTTCTCCAGAATCTATGCAGGCCTTAGTTGTCTAATGTTTCAAATGAATTAGTACCTAGACCAAAAACATTTTTAAACATAGTGACACTTCTTGTCATCTAGTACTATTAAAACTATCATTACAAGATGAAAGAGAACCACTTTCCAAAGACTCAAAGATCAGTCATTGTGTTCATCAGTCATTTCAAAATTACTCAAGATAACCCAATGCCTCCCAATACTCCAAACAATCAGTCATTTTTGTTATATAGTAGCACTCATTTACCAACTATTGTTGTACATCCAATTGAATTACACACACTATGCATAATGTAACACCAGAAACAACTTCTTCATTCTTGACAAGAAATGAAATTGTTTATTCCTCTTTGAACATTTTTCAGAACAAGTCTGCTTCAACCATCCCAATTTCTTCCAAATTATCCTGCTGCTTCTCAAACCACTCCAGGAATTTATACAGAAATAATACTTTTCCAGCACACTACTGAGGATCCAGGCAGGAGAACCTTGCTGGGAGGAGTCTGGAAGCTCAACTGAAGATTCTCAGAGATGCTTAAGGGGTTGCACAATATGAATATAGATCTTGACTTTCCCAGTGCACTTTCCACCACTGACCTTACCTTCAATTTTCTTTGTGGAGGAATAGTACTTAGGAGACATATAACTAGAAGGGTGATCGTTGTTGACCTCTGCACAATTGCTGTTTAATTAGTAATAATGAGCATTGTCCTTTTCAGCTTTTTCCTCTTCTTCCTACATCAGCTCAAACATGTTCATCAGCATCATCAACATCAGCATCTCCTCATTGTAACTTTTCAACTTGCTAAATATTTGATTTGCAGTCTGTTTCAAATTCTTTTTATTGCTTCACACAACAAACTTGCAATGGCTTATCCGTTATTCCCTTCTATGGGTTTCTGGGCTTCTTTGAAAGGCTCCGACACAAGGATGATATAATTCAGGTGCTTTGTCACTTATATATTTCTTCATTTTTTCCATGTTGACCCCAAATGTATTCCTTCCATTGCTGTTAGTTCAAGACTGAAACAGTTATACAGTTAAATTATACAGTGTGGGGATAACTGTCCATCTAATTACCGTGTTAAGACTGCTTCAACTCAACACATTTGAGTCCCACAATGGACAAACTGCTTACAAAATTAGGCCACTAAGTGTGTGTGATCTCAAAAACAGGCATGGGACCTCCTTGATACATTTGTTCTGTCTCCAGTTTATCAGAAGGAACTGTGTCAGATGCATTTCTCCACACTTTAACACAATGCATTGATCCCATTTTTTCTCTTAAAATCAATCAAGAACAATACACCCTGTGATGGAGAGCATCAAGGATACTGGAAAAAGCAAGCATTAGTGTCAGTGGAGGGGGGGCAAGCGGATGTGGTCGGTTGTTGAAACAAGAAGAGCTTCCACTGGGATAATAGTAGCTTCAGCACATGGTTGTGAGAACTCCTCTGGGTCCGAAAATTAACAAAGAGTTGCCTTGCTGCTATCAACATCATGTAACATCATGAAGAATCAGTATTGGTGCAACATTGGTGGTGCAACATCTTGAATTTATTTCTGGCACATCGACTGACATCAAAACAAAATTTCCATAGAAAAAATGGTGGATTTGGACAAGATTTCTTGATGTCAGTAGGCGCACTCAACATATTTTACTTGGGAAATACATAGCCCAAAATGTACGACTGTATCGTACATCTTGCTGCCAGTGCTATACGATGGTGGGACAGAGGAAGTAAATATTTGAATAATATCATGGAAATTCCAAAATTTACGAGAATGAAATCCCCCAAAGAATGAAAAAAATTGTCATTGTCATCATCAGTCATTCCAAAATTTCCGAGAACGGAATCCCCCAAAGAATGAAAAAAATAGTCATTGTCATCATCAGTCATTCAAAAATTTAAGAGAACCAAATTCCTACCAAAAATGATAAATTAAGTCATCATTGTCATCAGTTATTCCAAAATTTAAGAGAACAAAATTTCTACCAAGAGTTTTAAAAAGTCATTGTTGTCATCAGTCATTCCAAAATTAAGAGAACCAAATTGCCCTTTAGAATAAAAAACAATCATTCCGTCATCAGTCATTCCAAAATTTAAGAATCCCTAACTCTACCGTAAGAAAATGTCAAATCTTAAACAAAATCCCCCTCCCAACATAACAGCCAATACGTTATGTAGAGGTCATAATTTAGAGGGGTATGCATCAAATTTTTTTGTGCATCACAAAGCATGAGAAAAAAAGAGAAACCATATTCCACGTGTGGTCCAAATTTCCAAAAAGACCCCTAAGGATTTTTTTCATTCTCATTTTTACTGCATAATACTAGTAAAGCTATCCAACCTTTAAGCAGTTACTGTGAGGATAAATCACAAATTACAGCTTTATCAAAAATACTACTAGTAGTACTATTTTGATTTTTGAGTAGCCAGTCTACTAGTCCAGTTTTTAATGCTGATTCTGAATATACCATTTTGTCGGATATTTAATTGATATTTGTGGTACTATTTTACTATTGAAAAATGAACATAATTTCCATGCTAGTACTCTACTAGTACTAGTAGTACTAGTACCACTACCACTATCTAGTACGTCTACTAGTATGATCAGTTTCACCTTCGTACCAATTGTAGTAACAGTAGGAGTAACAGTAGGAGTAACAGTAGTAGTAGTAGTAGTAGTAGTAGTAGTAGTAGTAGTAGTAGTAGTGGTAGTAACAGTAGACAGTAGTAGTAACTTTACCTTGCGGGAATAGGAAATTTGGACCACACGTGGAATACTACGCATAAAACATCAATTGAAATTACGTTAAGTAAGGCATTGGGAACGTTAATTTAATGTTCCATATGTTAGCGCTAACATTCCGAATGTTAGTGTTAACGTACCGAATGTTAAGCTAACATTCCGTACGTTAGGGACGTACACGTAAGTAGGATTTGTACTGTACACCCGTTGGTGGCACACCCAGCTGCTGATCCAGCTGCTCAGCGAGGACCAGGATCAGTTTTGGATGGATCCTAGTACAAAGCTGTGTAGAAAATCCTGTAGAAAACTCTTGCCTTGTCATTTTGGTCAAAATAGAAGGGTTTTGATTGCAGGTACAAAATTGTACCGTGTCCTACTGTCGTGACCTTTACCTGCCTCCAGCGTGCTGATTCCAGTGAACTAAACTGTTCTTTTCATTCTAAAGAAAACTACTCGGTTCAAGCAACCGACCATGGGAATTAGTGTATTTGCAGCACTTCCACTCAACCTTATACACTTTACTTGGTATCAATCGATAGCTCTCTTTCATTGTCGATTGAACAAGCCTTGAACTGTASCAAACAAGCAAGTGTAACAGATTTTATTGCGTGTTCAGTGTAGCTTCTTTTTTTACGGCAACTTGCTTACGACGTCGGCAACATGAGTGACAGGAAGAAGAAGGATCCAACGGATGAGGTTGCAAAGATCAGAGCCGATGCTGGGCTATCTAGACTAACACAACAAGAAAGAACTGAGAGGCCTCACCCTGGAAAGGGAGGGAGTAGAGGCTATGATTTGCTTGTTCGATTGGCTGAACTGGCAAGGAAAGCTGCTGGTCTTCCTCCTTTTATGGCTAGCAAGTCTTCAGTTAGTAGATGGTCAAAGAGGGCTGAGCGCTACAGGAGCACAGGAAATAGAAGCCAGGGCAAACTGGTGGGGAAGGACCTCTTTAACATGTTTTTGTTTGTGTGGGTCTATCCAGATGCAAGCAATGATGAGATTGCTACTTTTATTTTCAACAGTGGAGGACCAATCTACTCTAATGCAGTAATTAGCGCAAGGATGAAGAAAATGCACCTTACAAGGAAGGTTGCCTCTAAGGAAGCCTATCAAGCGTTCACCCCAGAGAGTATCTGGAGGGCCAAGATCTTCCGGAGCAAGCCCCCTCCTCTTAGAGTGGTGGGTGTTCCTAGGAGGAGGTTCATTGATGTGGATGAGTTTGGTATGGATATGACCAAGACCAGCAAGAGTAAGAAAGGAATTTCCCTCAAGTGTTTCAGAGCAAGGATCCCTGGAGCGTATCAGAGGACACAGAAGCTCACCATCATCCT